CCTTGCGCACTCTTCCACGGTTCTACCGTATCCTGCGGCCCCGTCGGGCTTGCTGTCGGGACTCCACCTCCCCTCGTTCTCTACGAACCTGGTGAGTGGAGCTGGCCTCCAGGACGCGTGGGTTGACCAGTTCGCCCCTGGAGGTCAGCGTGTGACCCACTGCACTTGCTCTCGGACGGGCCGCCACCTGGCCACGTTCACCCGTCGGCGTGGGTCAAGTCTCTACACACTGACTACTGCGCCCCCTCCGGTCTCTGCGTCTGGTCAGGTAGCTGCGTCTAGTCAGGTGTTTGCTGCTGCGTCCAGGTCTGGTCCTGCGTCTGCCCCCTGCTCGTGTCGTCCTCTGACGCACGAGACTCTCCTATGGCACCACCGCCTTGGTCACCCCTCCCTGCCTCGTCTTAGAGGCATGGCCTCCCGTAACCTTGTCTCGGGTCTCCCCCGGTGCCTTCCTCCCCTTCCTCCGGGGCCTGCCCCCACCTGTGTTCCCTGTGTCGAGGGCCGGCAGCGCGCCGCTCCTCACTCCTCCTCGTTCCCTCCGACCGAGGCTCCCCTGCAGACTCTTCACATGGACGTGTGGGGCCCAGCCCGCGTCCGTGGACAGGGTCACGAGCGTTACTTCCTGCTGGTCGTTGACGAATACTCGCGCTACACCACAGTCTTCCCCTTGCGCAGCAAGGGTGACGTCACTGAGGTGTTGATTGACTGGATCCGCGGTGCCCGTCGCCAGCTCAGCGAGAGTTTCGACTCGGACCTTCCTGTTCTGCGTCTGCACTCCGACAGAGGTGGTGAGTTTTCCTCCGACCTCCTGAGGGCCCTCTGACGTGCGGAGGGCATCCGCCAGACGTTCACGCTTCCGGCCTCCCCACAGCAAAATGGGATTGCTGAGCGCCGCATTGGCATGGTCATGGACGTCGCTCGTACGTCCATGATCCATGCGGCTGCTCCCCATTTTCTGTGGCCGTTCGCGGTTCAGTACGCTGCGCATCAGATCAACCTTCAGCCTCGTGTCTCCTTGCCGGAGACCACACCTACTCTGAGGTGGACGGGGAAGGTTGGCGATGCGTCTGCGTTCCGTGTCTGGGGATCTCGAGCTTTTGTCTGCGATACTTCAGCGGACAAGCTGTCCTCCCGTGCCGTTCCCTGTGTCTTCCTTGGCTTCCCCCCTGACGCACCTGGGTGGCAGTTCTACCACCCCACCTCGCGTCGTGTTTTGTCCTCTCAGGACGTCACGTTTGACGAGTCGGTGTCTTACTACCGTCTCTTTCCCTACCGCGCTGCCTCTCTCCCCCCCCCGCCACTCTTCCTAGTACCAGGTACTCCTCCGGTAGACCCCCTCCCCCCTCAGGGTCCTGCCCCCTCAGGTGTGTCTCAGGTAGACCTTGCCGAGCCGGTCGAGGTAGCTGTCGACTCAGGTGCTGCTCGGGGTGCTGAGCCTGCGGGTGCGGGGACTGGGGGTGCTGAGCCTGGGGTTGCTGAGCCTGAGCGTGTGGAGTCTGGGGGTGCTGAGCCTGAGCGTGTGGAGCTTGGGGTTGCTGAGCCTGGGGGTGCTGCGTCTTGGGGTGCTGAGCCTGCGTCTGCTGAGTCTGGGGGTTCTCCGGGTGTCCTGTTGCGGCGGGAGCCCCTCTCTCCGCAGCAGCTTCGTGAGTGGTACGCTCGGCGCTTTCGCCGTGCTACAGGTGCTGCTGATGCTGGCGCTGCTGGAGGTGCTGCTGGAGCTGGAGCTACTGGAGGTGCTGCTGGTACTGGTGCTGCTGGAGGTGCTGCTAGTGCTGCTGGAGGTGCTACTGGTGCTGGAGCTGCTGGAGGTGCTGCTGGTGTTGGAGCTACTGGAGGTGCTGCTGGTGCTGGTGCTACTGGAGGTACTGTTGGTGCTGGAGCTGCTGGAGGAGCTGCTGGTACTGGAGCTGCTGGAGCCACTGGTCCTGGAGGTGCTCGTCCTGGAGGTACTGGAGCTGCTGGGGCTGGTGGTACTGCGGGCGTTGGAGCTGCAGGTACTGAGGCTGGTGGTGCTGCGGGAGTTGTTACTGGAGACCCTGGAGCTGAGGGTACTGGTGCTGTCTCTGCTGTTTCTGGAGGCGCTGCGCGGCCGCGGCCGTACTACGTTCCGCTCCTTCAGCAGGTTCTTGGTCTACCGCCTTCTCCTGGTCCTCCTCCTCCTTTACTGAGTCCACAGCCTGTCCAGTCACAGTCGCAGTTACAGCCGTCCTCTCCACTGCCTGGTCCTTCTCCTTACTCTGGACCGATTAGAGGTCTTACGGAGCGTCGTGAGCCTGAGTCGCGTCCTGTGTCGCCTGTGTCTCGTGCTGCGTTGCCTGTCCGCATTGCTCGCGCTGGTCGTGTTTTGCGTCCGCGTCCTCCTCCTGTCCCTGGCACTCACTCTATGACACTGCGTCCTTCCACTGCTCCACAGCGTGTCCCTCTGCCCTCTCCTCCTGCGTCCTCTCTTCCTGACGGTCCGGACCCGGAGTATGACTCCCTTCATGCTGCTAGTCCTACTGTCACGCGCCTTCTGGCCACTGCTGTCACTGACCCTTTGTTTGAGTCCACTGCTGCGTCTGCTCTCGTTGTTGAGCTTGTTGACTTTGCTGCAGCTTGTCGCCTAGACTACGCCACTAGTCTTGTTGCTGAGGCTGCGTCTGCGTCTGTCTGTCCTCCGTCCATCGGGGGTGAGTGTGCTCTTGGCACGGACGTTCTTCAGGACAGACAGGAGGAGTTTGAGTGCTTTGCCGCTGCTGTACCTCATCTCGTGTCCATGCTGCTTGCCCCTGAGGGAGACCCGGATGCACCAGACATCCCGACCCCGCGCTCTTACGCAGAGGCGATAGAGGGTCCCTACTCCTCTCAGTGGCAGGCAGCCATGGACGCCAAGATGGCTTCCTGGAAGTCCACAGGCACCTACGTCGACGAGGTTCCCCCGCCTGGGGCGAACATCGTCAGTGGCATGTGGATCTTCAGGGTGAAGCGGCCGCCGGGTTCTCCGCCTGCCTTCAAGGCGCGTTACGTTGCACGTGGCTTCAGTCAGCGTCAGGGAGTTGACTTCTTTCAGACCTTCTCCCCTACCCCGAAGATGACCACTCTTCGGGTACTGCTGCACGTTGCCGCCCAGAGTGACTACGAGCTCCACTCGCTTGACTTCAGCACAGCCTTCCTACAGGGCAGCCTGCACGAGGAGATCTGGCTGCGCCGCCCACCTGGCTTCACTGGGTCGTTTCCTGCTGGTACCCAGTGGAGCCTCCGGTGGCCAGTCTACGGTCTCCGCCAGGCACCCCGTGAGTGGCACGACACACTCAGGACGACTCTTGCTGCTCTTGGTTTTGCTCCTTCCACTGCTGACCCCTCTCTGTTTTTACGCACTGACACCACTCTACCGCCGTTCTACGTTCTCGTGTACGTATACGACCTCGTCTTTGCTACTGCTGACACTGAGGCACTCGCCCACGTGAAGTCCGAGCTGCAGAAGAGACACACGTGCACAGACCTGGGTGAGCTGACAAGCTATCTTGGCTTGCGGATCACCTGAGACAGAGCACAGCGCACCATTACTTTGACTCAGTCACACATGGTGCAGTTGGTCCTTCAGCGCTTCGACTTCACGTACTCCTCGCCACAGTCCACTCCTCTGCCTACCGGTCACTCGCTCTCAGCTCCACCTTTGGACGAGTCCGTAGAGCCGAGTGGCCCGTATCCAGAGCTTGTGGGCTGCCTCATGTACCTGATGACTTGCACACGACCTGACCTCGCATACCCTCTCAGCCTTCTGGCTCGTTACGTGGCTGCCGGTAGGCACCGAAAGGTGCACTGGGATGCTGCGAAGAGGGTGTTGCGCTACTTGTGCAGTACGTTGGGCATGGGGCTAGTGCTTGGAGGACGAGCTCGAGTTGTCCTCACTGGTCACGCAGACGCCTCCTGGGTTGACGACTTGGCTACGCAGCGGTTGTCACAGGGTTACACCTTCAGTCTTGGCTCCGGCTCTGTCTCTTGGCGGTCTACCCGCTCGTCTTCTGTTCTCAGCTCTAGTTGTGAGGCTGAGATCTACGCTGGGGCCATGGCTGCACAGGAGCTACGCTGGCTTACCTACCTGCTGACCGACTTGGGAGAGGCGCCTCGTTTGCCTCCAGTTCTGTACGTCAACAACAAGGCCATGCTTGCCTTGTGTCAGGAGCACAGACTGGAGTACAGAACGAAGCACATTGCTCTGCGCTACTTCCTTGCTCGAGAGTTGCAGCAGCGTGGTCAGCTTCGTCTTGCCTACGTGGCCTCTAAGGCCAACACTGCTGATGTTTTCACCAAGGCACTTCCACCTTGTGATCATTAGCGTTTCTGTACTGTTCTTGGCCTTGTACCTACTGTGCCTCACTTACTTACGTCTTGACTCTGCTTGTACTGTACTCTATATACTTAAACCTGCATGCTTACACTTGCTAGGTTGTGTTCACTGTATTGTTTGTTCTCCTTTATATAACTCTGCATGTGAACTGGCCTTGTGGCTATTTGCTTGTGCTCAGACTGCGTGGTGACTTTGTGATCCACCCTGAGCTTGCTTTGCCTTTCTTGACTGGTCTTGTGACCCTTGTTCTCCCCCACTTTGCCTATGGGGGTGTGTCAAACATATCTGCTATAGTCTATCTAGGCTGTAGTGGGGTAGTCAATACAGGGTACAACACTTTTTAGGTTTTCATATCTGTACCCACCTGCTGCCTAGTTCAGTCATTCCCTTCGGTTCATTTTGTCACTTCATTCCCCTGCTTCATCATGTTCTTGGTCTCCCATCTTCTACTGGCCTTCCTCCTCCCTTACTGTGTCCATCGCCTGACCAGTCACAGCCGCTGTTACAGCAAGCCTCCCCACTGCCTGCTCCTTCTCCTTACACTGAGGAGACTGGAGGTCTTACAGAGCGTCATGAGCCTGAGTCTCGTCCTGCCTCGCCTGTTCAAGCTGTTTGCACTGGTCGTAGGGTTCCTCGTCCGCGTCCTCCTTCTGTCCCCGGCACCCACACTATGGCACTTCGTTCTTCCTCTGTTCCACTGCGTGTTCCTCTGCCGCCTCCTCCTGAGTCCTCTCTTCCTGCCATCCCTGACCCTGAGTCAGACCTTGCTTGTGCTGCCACTCCCACTGTCTCTCGTCTCCTTGCCACTGTTGTCAGTGACCCTTCTTTTGATTCCACTGCTGCGTCTGCCCTCGTTGCTGAGCTAGTTGACTTTGCAGCTGCCTGTCGTCTCGACTACGCCACTGCTCTTGCTGCTGAGTCTGAGTCTCCCAGTCCTCCGTCCGTCGGGGGTGAGTGTGCTCTTGGCACGGACGTCCTTGAGGACAGGTAGGAGGACTTTGAGTGTCTTGCAGCTGCTGGACCTCGTTTCGTTTCCATGCTGCTTGCCCCTGAGGGAGACCCGGATGCACCAGACTTCCTGACCCCGCGCTCTTACGCAGAGGCGATTACGGGTCCTTACTCCTCTCAGTGGCAGGCATCCATGGATGCCGAGATGGCATCCTGGAAGTCCACAGGCACCTACGTCGACGCATTTCCCCCGTCTAGGGCGAACATAGTCGATGTCATGCGGATTTTCAGGGTAAAGCGGCCGCCGGGCTCTCCGCTTGCCTTCAAGGCGCGTTACGTTGCTAGAGGCTTCAGTCAGCGACAGGGGGTCGACTACTTCCAGACCTTCTCCCCCACCCTGAAGATGACCACTCTTCAGGTGTTGCTGCACGTTGCTGCTCAGTGTGACTACGAGTTGCACTCTCTGGACTTCAGCACAGCTTTCTTGCAGGGCAGCCTGCACGAGGAGATCTTGCTGCGCCGCCCTCCTGGCTTCACTGGGTCGTTTCCTGCAGGTACCCAGTGGAGCCTCCGGCGGCTAGTCTACGGTCTCCGCTAGGCGCCTCGCGAGTGACACGACACACTGAGGACTACGCTTGCGGCTCTTGGGTTTACTCCTTCTACTGCTGACCCGTCGCTGTTTCTACGCACCGACACGTCGCTGCCGCCGTTCTACGTCCTCGTGTACGTCGACGACCTCGTCTTTGCCACTGTTGACACTAAGGCACTGACCCTTCTGAAATCGGAGCTGCAGAAGACACACACCTGCACTGACCTGGGTGAGCTGCGCAGCTATCTTGGCTTGCAGATCACCCGGGACACAGCACGGCGCACCATCACACTGACTCAGTCACACATGGTGCACCAGGTCTTTCAGCGCTTCGGCTTCCAGTTCTCCTCGCCACAACCCACTCCTCTGTCTACCGGCCACTTGCTCTCAGCTCCACCTTTGGACAAGTCCGTAGAGCCGAGTGGTCCGTACCCAGAGCTTGTGGGTTGCCTCATGTACCTAATGACGTGCACACGACCTGACCTCGCATACCCTCTCAGCCTCCTGGCTCACTACGTGGCTCCCGGTAGGCACGGAAAGGTGCACTGGGATGCTGCGAAGAGTGTATTGCATTACTTGTGCAGTACATCAGGCATGGGGCTCGTGGTTGGAGGACGGGGTCCAGTTGTCCTCACTGGTCACGCAGACACTTATTGGGTTGACGAATCAGCTACGCAACGGTCGTCACAAGGTTACACCTTCAGCCTTGGTTCCGGCTCTGTTTCCTAGCGGTCTACCCGCTCGTCTTCGGTTCTCAGTTCCAGTTGTGAGGCTGAGATCTATGCAGGGGCCATGGCTGCACAGGAGCTACGCTGGCTCACCTACCTGCTGTCTGACTTGGGAGAGCAGCCTCGTTCGCCTCCAGTTCTGTACGTAGACAACAAGGCCATGATTGCCTTGTGTCAGGAGCACAGACTGGAGCATAGAACAAAGCACATCGCTCTGCGATACTTCCTTGCTCGAGAGTTGCAGCAGCATGGCCAGATTCGTCTTGCGTACGTGGCCACTAGGGCCAACACCGCTGATATATATTTACCAAGGCACTTCCGCCTGGTGATCATCAGCGCTTCTCTACTGTGTTAGGCCTTGTGCCTACTTTGCCTCACTTGCTCACTGCGTGACTTTGCTTGTACTGTGATCTATATATATACTTGCATGCTCACACTTGCTAGGGTATGATCACTGTATTGTTTGTTCTCTTTTATATAACTCTGCATGTGAGCTGGCCTTGTGGCCCTTTGCTTGTGCTCGGACTGTGTGGTGACTTTGTGATCCACCCTGAGCTTGCTTTGCTTTTCTTGACTGGTGTTGTGACCACTTGTTTTCCCCCACTTTGCCTATGGGGGTGTGTCAGAATGTTATAGTGCTTACATTTGTGTAGGCTATATTGGTGTAGCCCATAAGGGGTACAACCCAATTAGGGTTAGTACTTGTACCCAACTATTTCATAGTTCATTCATTCTCGTTCACTCTTTTGACAGATAGATGTTTTGGCAATGAAATATATGTATACAAATACATGAAATGTCTTAGGATGTAACAAATGGGTTTGGCCATCACACGGTTACAACATAGATTTGTGCACGTGTATATATATAACCAGTAAATCCATATCCTACGCCAAGCGTATGTATTGCGTTGGGCTATTTAACTAGACTGAGTACATTCACGACGTATGGTTGTCGGTTGGTGAAATTACAACCATTGGGCTCGTCTCATATGGTCGTATCACTATTGGCCGAAAAAACCCTTCCCCAGATTATGATTATGTTTAAGAGTGTATCAGTGATTAACAATGCTCTATGGTATATTTATTTAACATTATTTTGAGCCTTCAAAATAGAAGAAAGTAGCAATGAATATGGTAAAGTAGCTCTAGGCTGGGGCACTAAAGTACTTATGGGTGTTTTTTGTTTCGAATAGTAAATTGAGAAGCTTTACTGTGCATCTTTGTCAGTAGCAAGAACGAAGAACTCAGAAGAGAGTACGAAGGCGAAGGGTCAAAGCGACGCGCACAGTTATGAAGCACCTGGACCGTCGGAGCAGACAACATCAGGCAGCTGCAGGAGCGAGGAATTTGGCGGCAACAGTTTTGTAACAGTACGCACCGTTTTGAATCTAAATTTGGGAATGTTCCCCTTAGAGTACATGGCTAGACTAGGACCTTTTGTATTCCCCTGTACTCTTATGTAAACCGTTGTATTTGCATGTTGTAATCATCTCAGTCATTTTATATCCACCCAGGTCTGAGGTCAATTTCTTCCGCTGCAACACTCCGATTTTGCGAACCTTCCTGAGGTGATCCCAGTCACGATTACCTTTCTGATCGCAACATGGTATGAGAGCGACACAGGCCACCTTCGCATTGCCACCTCCGAAACTCTCGGAGAACTAAGGTGGCGTCTGGCGCGTAAGGATGGTTGGAGGATCTGGAGGTCAGACAAATCTGACCGCTGAAGCGCAGACCAACCCAGCTACGACAAACGAGGAGACGACGACAATCGGCACCGCCGCCCTCGCACAACTGCTTCAGCGACTCTCGACCTTGGAGCAAGGGCTCCAGACATTGCGGAATGGCAACGCGGGAACATCTTCCCAACCCTCTCAACCAGCCCCAAATGGCCAAGATACTGCCCCGCACACCTTCTCCCTCAACACCAATGGCTCAACTCCCAAGACTCTCCGTCCCAGTGATGAGGCAATTCTCTCAACTCAATCAAGGTTCTTCTGCATATAAAAAATAAATATAAGTTCTTACTTTGACGGCAAGGACTTTTACACGTGGAGCTTCGAGCTGGAGCCGCTGCTGCAAAACATACAGATTTTCCCCTATTTCGACGGGAGCTACGTCGAACCTGCGGAGAGCATGGTTGAAGCCAGAACACAGCACTACAATGAATCCCTCATCGCTTACGATGTTCTGCTACGCAATATGTTGCCGGTGGAGCAGTTAGGAATTCGTTCCTACAAAACCATGTCTGCTCCAGCCCTTGACGCATGCGACATTTCAACAGCGTTTACCAACCGAAGGACTCGGTTTCGTCGAGTCGCCTGCTCCAGCAGCTACTGGAGACCAAAATGGCCTCAGGGGAGAAGGCCAACAGCTACATTAACCGTTGTCAGAGCATACGCGATCAAATCGCGAAATTGGGGAGCTCAATTTCCGAAGAAATCTTCGTGCTCGCAGGGCTCGGCCCAGAATGGCGGCCCTGCAAGGCGCTACTCCGACAACAGGGGGCTATCTCAGAAGCCGCCCTATGCGCCACCCTTTTCGTCAAACAAAGGGATATGGATCAGCAGTAACCAGCGCCGCGACGAGAACGGGAAAGAATCGCGTTCTACGCTGACAACAGAGAAGAACGCACGTCGCGGCTCCTCTACTGCAAGATTTGCAAAAGCTTCGGGCATCTGGCCGAGCGATGCAAGTTCCGCTCCGCCCCTTGCCAGTCCATTCCGAGCACCTGGACCGGCTGACAAGACGCAAGAAATGACACGCGTCAAGCCCAGGGGTCTCAACCCCCATCGCGCAATCTGAACTCAGCGGTTCAGCACCAGCAATAGCACCTGTCACAACAGGGATCCGCATGAAACGTCATCGGCAATATGACGATGACTACACGCGGAACTCGCCATTGCTGCGTGCGCACGCCGTCTCCTAAGCCAGCCCTCCATCCAATCGAGGCATTCACGGACAACAATCCGTTTACCCCCCGACACGACTTCAGCGACGATGACGACTAGGACTGGAACCTTCCAGTCCCGCTGCTTGAAAGCCCCCTGCACATACCTGATTTGCGGGCGGCACCGATTGATTGGATCTCGCACGAACAATTCTTGAAGTTCGACACAACGCACATCGTCACGCCGCGATTGGCGCTGCTCACGCGCAACGACAACAGGCGCTACAACACGTGGTACCTGGATAGCTGCTGTGGGCAGCACATGGTGGGCTCTGAGCGTTTCATTACCAACGCCGTCTCCACCCCCGCAGTCACTTATGTCACTGTGGCGAACAACACTCGCCTGCACACAAGCGGGCAAGGCATCGTGATTCTCAAAGCACGCGGGAGCAAGACACACATCGCATTGAATGATGTGCCTATCGTGCAGAATCTCCGCTTCAATCTCCTCTCGGCGGCGCAACTCATGGACTGCGGATTTGACCTCAGCATTGACCCCAAGACACGTGACATCATCCTACACTACACAGCGCCAAACAAGCCGCACAAGTAGATCAGACGGGCATGCTTCGAAAACGGGGTGTACATCCTCGACTTCGACATTCCCGACTGCAGCGGCGACTCAAACAAGTTGATTGATCTTGTTCCATTGCGCTTCGAGCACATTCACCGCTCCGACTGGAAGCATCCTGATGGGAGGCCCTAGGAGCCGCATCACCCACATCTGCGCGAGGTGGCACTGCATGACCCTAACGCTGATGGCATCTACAGAAATTGCCACACGCCGACAGCATCAACCCGCAATTGCGGGACGCGGTATCGCCGCAATCGTCGAAACTGAGCGATTCACGCCACCTAAAGAAGGCATGTCCGCCTTGGAGCTCGAATTCGTAACACAATCCGTCTTCAGCCCACCAAACGGTCACCAGAAAATCCCCTCCCAGGTACACTAGCAGAGCGGCTTGAAGGAATCTTACACGGACGGTGCCGTGGAACTTTTGACGCACGCAGAGTGGCGCGTCCCTACACAAAGGAGGAGTTCTTAAAGGTTTACCCTCACTGGCGCAACCCCACGAAGAAACTTACCATTGCCCGAGAAGAAGAACTGGCGTGACGCGAAGCAGAGGAGCTTCGTCAGAAAAGCATCACCGAGGCGCGTGGAACATTTGCATGCTGTGCATGGGGTGCAGAAAAAGAAAGCGCCACCAATGAAGGGGGGTGGGGGAGTAACGTCGGCTGGGGAACGAGCAACACTGGCAGATGGAGCAATACGGGAGGCACATGGGCAGATGCTGGTGGCGAATGGGGCACCGTAACTGGCGGCGACGA